AACTAATATGTATTTGACACTGGGATATAGAGAACATAACAAAATTACGATGTAAAAATATCGCTTTCAACCCGTTGCGTATATTGTGTACCAATATTTCAATAACGTCCTCGAAAGTTAGACTTCACGATGCACTACCTCCGACTTTACAACGCCACTCGTTTTAGAACGCAACACATCACAGAATCCGCTGCACGATGTCTGACTTCACCACACTATTCTCCTTAGAACGCACCTTACAGAGACCGCTGCACGGGCGATGTCCGACTTTACGACGCAATTTCCCGTAGAACACGACGCATCACAGAAGCTACTGCACGGGCGGTGTCCAACTTTATGATGCAATTTTCCTTAGAACAGGACTTAAGCATCAAGTCTCAAGTAAGGATGGGCCCCCCCCTTTGGGCAAAGGGGGACTTAAGCCCCCCTTTAAGCCCCTTTAAGCCCTTCTTAAGCCCCCTTCAAAGGGGTCCCTGCAAAGAAGGTCCTTTCGGGGGGCAAAGAGTCAAAGCCCTTACCCCCCCTTAAGCCCCCCTTAAGCCCCCCCTTAAGCTCCCCTTTAAGCCCCCCTTAAGCCCCCCCTTAAGCCCCCCCTCCCCCTTAAAGCCCCCCCTTTAAGCCCCCTTGAAGCCCCCTTTAAACCTCTTAAAGCCCCCTTTAAGCCCCCCTTTAAGCCCCCCTTAAAGACCCCCCAAAAGCTTCCCCTGAAGCCGCAACCAAGCCTTCCCCTCTGTGAGGGTTTCGGCAGCAGTTTTGCCTAATACTTGCTGGGCCTTTGGCAGCAATTTGAGAGGCGTGATACTTGGAGGGTTTAGGCAGCAGTTTAAGAGGTCTAATACTTGCTGGACCTTTTTTGAAGGGTTTGGGCAGCAGTTTAAAAGGCGTAATACTTGCCCTTCTGCGGAGAGTTTAGGCAGTTTTAGAGGCCTGATGCTTGCTGGGCCTTCTGTGGAGGCAGTTAAAAGGATAATACTTGCTGGGCCTTCAGGATTTAGCAGCAGTTTAAGATGCCGAACACTTGCTGGGCCTTTTGTGGAGGGTTCGGACAGCAGTTTAAGACGTCAAAGAGGCTTGATACCTGCTGGGCCTTTGGTGGAGGATTTAGGCAGCCTAATGCGAGCATCGTGTTTGCAAATGGAAGGGACTGCGCCCCCCCAACCCCTTCCGCTTGTTTTGACCGGGCAAACTTGCGTGGAAGCGTGTGAATCATGTCCAAAACAAAACTTGGGTTTTTTGCCTGACGGCAAAATGGGGGTGCGAAGCACTCTCTGCTTGGCATCAAATCAGGGGGCCACATGGATTACATGGCCCCATTACCCACGACGGAGCTCAGTATGGCCGAAATTTCGGGCGCGGCATGGTGTTCTAGGGCCATAGGGCCAGATTAACAAACCTGTCGGCAGTCTCATCAAGAGTCTCATATTGCCCAGCAGCGTCAGCAGATCCAGCAGAAGATCATCAGCAGCATCATCATCATCATCATCATCATCATACCATCATCATCATCATCATATCAGATCATAGCATGTCATATATCATCACATCGTGTCATTGTATCATCATCATCATCATCATCCTGCCAGGTCCTGAGTCCTGAGCTCTGCCATCTTGGCAGTCCGGCTTCCCGGCAGTCCTGGTGCTGGCACGCGGTCTGGCATTGCCGCCGCATTGCCTGGCATTGGCATCAATCATAATCGCATCATCGCATCGCATCATGAATCAAAATGCATTGTGAAGTATGAATCATCAGTCATCAATCATTCATTCAGTCATGACTCATGACATGAGATCATGATGAGCCACGAGTCATGAATCATGAGTCATGAGATCATCATGAATCAGTCACAGTCACAGCCACAGTCACGGCAGTCACGTTAGTCATTGCGGCATCAGCCACAAACACGGGTCATGAACAATGAAAAACTGCTTGGTTTCCTTCAGCTTTGTTCGCGTCGAATCCAGCCAAGACTTCAAACTCAGCCCTCTTTCTTTTCTGCTGTTTTGGCTTGACGTGCATTTTTTCTGTTTGCAGAAAAGGCTGAAACAAAACCACCAGCAATGAAACAGGACTTTAAAGAACTTGGTTTTTCAGCCATTTTAACATGGAAAACAGGAAACACTGGTTGTTAAGCATTTCAAAGTCTGCAGTGTGAATTCCTGATTTTGGTTAATTACAAAAATAATTTGCTTAACAGGGCATCTTAAACACAGCCAAAGTTTTTGAGGTCATGTTTCTTTGCTGGTTCAGCCTTTGCAGGTGCAAACAGAAAATGCACGTCAAGTCAAGCAGCAGAAAAAAAAATGGGCTGAGTTTGAAGTCTTGGCTTTGACAAGATGGGCTGCGACGACCCAATTGCAGACCGCGACGGCGACGCGTGGGTGGTGGTGGCCGTGGACATGAGTCATGAATCAATGACTTATGACTCATAACTGTGACATGACTTGACTCATAACTTGACTTGACTCATAACTTATAACTTCCATGTCTTTGCACTTTCGTTTGATGTTGGTTTGATGGCAGGTGCGCCCGTCTCATCCTCTTTAAATCTCATTGCACTGGGGTTCATTTCGTTGACAATTTTCTCAAACAAGGAAAAATTGAACAAAAATTAATTAATTAATTAACGTTTTTTTTTTTTTTGATTTTGTTTTTTAGACAAGTTTGTTTGGAGCGATTTTGTTTCTAAACATGTGGCCTGCATGTGTGTACAGGAGCAAACAAAAAAGTTTTTCACGAAAGAAAAAAAAAACACATTTTTTCATGGTTTTCAAAAACAAAAATTTAAATATTTCTGAAAAATATGCAGCTTTCAGATATTCCATGTGGGTAAATCCTGCTAAGAACACTGCAGAGAGCTGAACAACAACCCAGCGACGCCTGGAAACAATGAATTAAATTTTGGAAAAATTGTAAAAATTGGCACGGAGAGTGCTTCGCACCACAAAACAAACATGGGATTCTTGGCTTTGCTCCGCGCCACGTCACTGCTATGCAAATGGGAGGGACTGTGCCGCTCCCCCAACCCAGCTTTTTTCTGCACCAACTTGTAAGACGGCGCATCATCCAGCCCCTAGAATGTCTCGACGTGGTGGTTAGCCAGTGGAGCTCCAAGCCAACACAACTTGCGGCTCTTTTTTGAAGCTCGGCCAAAATTTTCCAACATTCAGGCGCACTGGAAGTCTTTCTCTCAATCGGAAGCTGTTGAAATCTTATTGTCTGGTTTCCCGTTTAGAACGCAAGAAATCGCATGTGTTGGACTTTGCGATTTGCCGCCACTAAGACCTTGATGGACCAATAACCTTTGCTCAAAGGGAAGTTAAGCTGTCCACGCAAGCTTGCCTTCGTCGAAAGTTGTTGTAGAACGTAGAATTGTCGTTGTAGAATTGTAGAGTCGTTGTCGGGTCGTCATAGAGTCGTCGTCGTAGAGTTGCAGTCGTCGTAGAGTTGTCGTCGTCATTCGCGTCGTGGAGTCGTCGTTGTAGAGTCGTCGTCGTAGAGTCGTCGTCGTAGAGTCGTCATTGTAGCGTCGTCGTAGAGTCGTCGTCATCGAGTCGTCGACGTAGAGTTGTCGTCGAAGAGTCGTTGTCGCAGAGTTGTAGTTGTTAAGTCGTCGTCGCAGAGTCGCAGTCGTAGAGTCGCAGTCGCAGAATCGCAGTCGTAGAGTCGCAGTCGTAGAATTGTAGTCATATGGTCGTGGTCGTCGTCGTCGTAGTCGTAGTCGTCGAAGTCGTAGTCGTAGTCGTCGTAGTCGTAGTCGTAGTCGTAGTCGTAGTCGTAGTCGTAGTAGTAGTAGTAGTAGTAGTAGTAGTAGTAGTAGTAGTAGTAGTAGTAGTAGGTAGTAGTAGTAGTAGTAGTAGTAGTAGTAGTAGTAGTAGTAGTAGTAGTAGTAGTAGTAGTAGTAGTAGTAGTAGTAGTAGTAGTAGTAGTAGTAGTAGTAGTAGTAGTAGTAGTAGTAGTAGTAGTAGTAGTAGTAGTGTTGTAGTAGTAGTAGTAGTAGTAGTAGTGTTGTAGTAGTAGTAGTAGTAGCAGTAGTAGTAGTAGTAGTAGTAGTAGTAGTAGTAGTAGTAGTAGTAGTAGTAGTAGTAGTAGTAGTGTAGTAGTAGTAGTAGTAGTAGTAGTAGTAGTAGTAGTAGTAGTAGTAGTAGTAGTAGTAGTAGTAGTAGTAGTAGTAGTAGTAGTAGTAGTAGTAGTAGTAGTAGTAGTAGTAGTAGTAGTAGTAGTAGTAGTAGTAGTAGAGTAGTAGTAGTAGTAGTAGTAGTAGTAGTAGTAGTAGTAGTAGTAGTAGTAGTAGTAGTAGTAGTAGTAGTAGTAGTAGTAGTAGTAGTAGTAGTAGTAGTAGTAGTAGTAGTAGTAGTAGTAGTAGTAGTAGTAGTAGGAGTAGTAGTAGTAGGAGGAGTAGTAGTAGTAGTAGTAGTAGTAGTAGTAGTAGTAGTAGTAGTAGTAGTAGTAGTAGTAGTAGTAGTAGTAGTAGTAGTAGTAGTAGTAGTAGTAGTAGTAGTAGTAGTAGTAGTAGTAGTAGTAGTAGTAGTAGTAGCAATACTATTATCAGTACTAGTACTAGAAGTAGTAATAATGGTCTAGTTTCGGTGCGTTCAGCGACCGCAGCTACACGGCAAAAAAGCGTCTGACACGAGCCAACAAAAGGCCTTGTTGCAGACGCGTGCAGTTGACAGCGGACTTGCTGCGCACACGATCGGACAGAAAGACCAAGTGCCCCGCAGACACACACCCAAGAAGACACGAGCTTGTACATGACGAGTGTTGAACAAACCGAGTTTTTTGGTGTTTGCCGGGCGCATGGTGCAGTTTCGCATGTAAAGACCGCAAAAGCAAAACCTGCGGATGTGGTGGAACATGGAACACACAGCCGCAGGCTCGCGTGCCTTGGAGGCACGAGCGGCCGTGCAACAAAACAAACGCTCTTGAGCCTACCGATGTTTTCGTTGCTTTGGCGCATGGTGCGATTTGGCGTCGGATTGACAGCCGACTTTTGGCAAAAATGGTCGCACCGAGCCTGCATGGTGCGATTTCGCACGTCATGGACAATGTGAACAACGCATACACGGCCTCGACAGGTCTCGAACGCCTGCGCAACAAAACGCGTGCTTGGACTTGCCGAGCTTGTTTTGCCCTGTCGTCGCATGCTGCTGCTTCGGCCATAAAAAACGGAGTTTCCGCAAAAAACAACCGAAACAGCAACAACAGTTTGCGGGCATGAAGGAACACACAGCAACAAAAAAACTTTGTCCGCTCGCATGTGCATGTGTTGTCTTCTCATGTGTGCCTTCCCGTCCAATAGTCGTTTTGCGGCAAACAAGGCGTTACGAACGAAATCGCACTTCGTGACCACAGGCAGGAATAAGTTAACTCCGCAAGCTCAAATACATTGTTTTGGCTGCGCGGTCCTTGGCGCTGTGCGTGATTTTGTGTGACGGACATGCTCGGGTTCCCATGCAGGGTTCGATGGTTAAAAGGGCTGCAACCTTGAACCATGAGTCGGAAAACTAAACCGTGCATCCTAAAATAGTCCTGAAACCCGAATATGACTCTGGAGCTCGACAGACGATCGTTTCCGTGAGCTTTTCGACATGCCACGGAGAGCCATGGAAGGCATTGATTGAGCCAGCTGCAACTTTCCTGTCTGCAATTTTTGGGTGTTCACACGATGCCTTTTTGATCCTTTTTTGTTTGGTTTACAACTTCTCCCATACCCTCAAACAAAGCAAATGCCAAATGTTTTCGGTGGTTTTAAGGATTTTGAGCTCAACCGGTTGCGGGTGCGGCAAAGGGTTTGTTGCTGCGCCACGAAGTTTGTTGCTGGTCCTCGTAGGGCTGGTCTGTTTGTCGCCCACGGCAGTTTCTTTCACTTTTTTGCCAGCTAACGGCTTGAACGCCAAGGCCGGCAGCAGGGGTTGCGTTGCTTGCCCGGGCATGTCCCTCACGAGGGTTGTAAGTTGGACGCGTCGGTGGCTGAGGAGTTCGTTTGTTTTCGCGTCCGGCCCTTTCTGCGTTCTCCTTGGCGATCCTTGGCGGCGTCAAACAAGAGTGTTTGTGGCCATTGGATGCCATTGGTGCGTGTTGGTGCCACGTGGCTCCTTTCATTTGTGGAGGGGCTTTTTGTCAAACCTGGATGTCTGGAGGGGTTTAACTGGGATGGTGCACCGTTTCATCCCTTTTCCAACCGCTCGGGAGCTTCAGTAGGCCTCGACCTCAAACGCTCGCCGAAGTAATCTGGGTTGGATCGACTACTTGGCTGGGTTTGGGATGACACCTTTGCGGGCGAAGACATGATGGTCGTGTGCATTGCAAGCTGGTCCCTTGCCAGCCTGGGAGGCTGTTGCGCCACTACTCGGCCTGCCACCCCACATGTCATCGGGTGCCTTGCGCGTTGATATGGAACACACGGCGACGTCATCACGTGCGGGCAGGACATTTTGCGAGTGCAAGAGGCAAAGGCCTTGCCACAACAGCACCGCATGAGACGCAGGTTTGAAGTATGTTCTATGTGCGCTTGTCGCACGCAGGCAGGCAACAGCTGCCATCCTTTGAACTGGCATGGGTCGACTGACTCCTCGCCACACAAGCTGGCAGGTGGTGCAGCGCCCTTGAAAACGTCGCCCACCCAGGGCTTGGAAGCCGACGTCCAGCCGTGGGCTCGAAACTCGTGCCTTCAGTGCATGCGGTTGTTGCAGAGCCGGCCAAGCTTCTGACGTGCGCGCCCACGAATTGTTGCTCGCTGCCTTGGCATCTCGCGTGCTTTAGCTTTCGCAGAGACATCACCATTATGAAACACCATGAAAAGACATGGAAATGTGCAGGGATCCGCGTAAATGCGCACCTCACCGACATGAACATCCATTTCCCTGTCGCTGACGCGATGCTTGGGAGTCGTTGTCGATGATTGTGGATAAAGCATCTGTCATGGTCATACGGAAGAATTATCTGGTAAGCACCAACTATGTCAGTTTTGCTGATTCCGCAGGGCACACAGCGATTGGGTTATCTGCTGGGCTTGCGGGCTAACAAATCCCATCGACCCTGCACGAGCTCCAGGCCGGTAGCCAGGCGACGCGGCAGCGGCTGCGGGCGTCCACCTCGAGGGCCAAGGATGGGGCCAGCATGGGAGGCATGTCTGCGCACGTCGTCGCAGGCGGCCCGTGGTGCGCCCGGCGTCTGGGCGAATGGTTGGCAAAGGGATGGTGCGTTCGCACCCCACCTTTTTTTCCGATAGCGGGTCTTGCTGCCAGCCATTTGACCCAGCGCTGTTGCGTTCTGTAGGGGCATGACTCGCCTCCATCCCTGCCGACCCCGCGACGGCGCTTGCGCCAGACCTCATGCACCTCGCCTGCGGCGCCGCATGCGTCGACATTTACCCCGTACATGTGCCAGACGTGGAGGAGGTGGAGCGCCCGGCTGCCGCGCGCTTGTCGACAACCTGGGAGAGCACGCCCTGGCGTGACCGCGCACTGGTCTTGTGGCTCGCCGGGGTCTTGTGCTCGAGAAAGTCTGGATCCAGGTTGTCAGGGAGGTGATCGGGCGAGTGGTGCCACAGCTGGCTGGCCAATACGACGCCGCCTGGGGTAGCAGCAGGCGATCGCCGAAGGCTCGACCTCGTCGTAAACGGCGCTCGAGGCTTTGTGCTGCGACGCAACCCTACTGTCGCCCTGCGGCGCGATGGCAGCCCCCAAGCTGGAGCGGCGCAGCGCCGCAAGCTGGGGACCCCATCGCTTATGTGTGCTGGCCGCTGAAATCGAGGGGCGCTGGACCAGCGACTAGTGCCGCGCCTCATCGCGCTGCGTGCCGGGCGCGTGGAGCAGACAGCGATGTGCCGATACGTGCCGCTAGTAGAGGTCCTCCAGTTCGCGGCTGACCCGGCGCCGAGCAGGGAGATTGTCACCGCGCGAAACGTCCTCGCCCAGCTCGCTTATGCCTGGCGGCGCCGGGGCCGCCACGGGCATGATACACACGCGTTTTGCCAAGGTTTGCAGCGATCCCGGCCTCGCGTTCGATGGTGGCGGTGACAGCATCCAGTTGGCCGCGGGTTCGCGACGGAGAGGTGACGACGTAAATGTCGTCCGCCAGGAATTCACCCGCTTCCAGCTGTTGCGCTGGTGCCACCAGCACGTCGTGTTGGCCAAGCGCAAACAGCGCAGGTGCGAGGGAGTCGCCCTGCTCGACCCCTTCGGCCTGCGCGATCTCACGGCAACGGCCATGGTCATCCCACATCATCCCACCATAGGTATGTGATGGTACGTGGAAACACGCGCGCACAGAGACCGGACGAAGGGCAAGACCTGCGGCGCCACCGCTTTGAGTTTGCCCATGATGGCTGCGCGGCTGACACGATCATAAGCGCTGCGGCCATCGAGTGGGACTATCGTAGCCTCTGGATCGAGCTCCGTGGCTGCGCGGAGCATCACCGCGAGGCTATTTGTCCCTGCCCGGGCTAGCCTCGTCGAAGACGTGGGCGAATGCACGTGCAAGCACCCGAGGTTCAAGCGGCGGAGGACATGTCCTGTAGCTGTTCCCCACACGCCCCTTCCGGCTTACGCAAGGCCGCTGGCCTTGACAGGGAAATGGCATCGACGATGGCAGACGGCTCGTCCGCCCCGCATAAAAGTTGACGGCGAAAGCCAACGGTTCGATCGCCGCGGGGTCGAGGAGGAGCAACTTGTAGTGGTCAACAAATTGCCCCCCGAAAGGCCACCCTCGCTTGGTGCTCCGGAGCGATTCCGCCACCTGTTGGACTGACAGAGGTCAAGGTCAAGCCTGATGCCCGAAGGCGGCCCATTTAAGGCGCAGGCAGTGAAACAATCAAATGCGACGACTAATTGCGCAGCTCATTGCTTTGTAACGAAATGAATGAAATCATCTGTTTGTCGTAACCACCATTTTGAATCAACAGCTGCGGACTTCCAATTTCCCAATTGACGCCAACGACAATACATCATGAGTGCATACTGACAGAGTGATGGCCTATGATGGCCTCATATTTCAACACGTCTGCAAGTATCCCCCGGCGCCGATGGGGTGGCCGCCACCAGGCCGCCACGCAGGGTCCGCTTGGAGAGCTTCTTCATTGCCAGGGCCAGTGCAGCCGCTGCCCTTGGCGCATCCCTTCACAAGCTGATTCAAGGACAGCTGCGTCAGTGCGGGGAGGGTTGCGTTGCACACTTCCAAGCGTCAAAGACACAAGCTCCATGCAGCAGCGAAGGAAACCCCGGCCCAGAACTACATTGCACTACGCCTGCGAGTTTCAAGCCCCCCAGCTGCGCACCGCGCCCAGTGGCGGCCAGGCGATTTCCCAGCTGCATCAATTGGTGCTCAAGGACGACCCGCAAAACAATAAAGGCAGCAAACGAAGTGGCTAACATTTTTTGTGATGCTCCCAGCCATTTGGTTTCTGTTTTTCAGGCTATAGTTCTGTAAGCTTTGTTTGGAACACGAAACGAGAGGGCACGCTCGCAATGAGCATGTGAATCTGTGACCGCTTTATATGCTGTATTTGATGCACGAAACGCATCGAAACGCCAAGGTGCACATGACGAGGGCAAACGTTCGACCGCTTCTGGACATTGCTGTTGCAGCACAGGCAGTGCGTCCGCCCACTCCGCATGCAAGCGGCGCAGTGCACAACGCGTTGCTTTGGGCGTGCCCGGACCGGCAGTGTGCCTGGCTACTGCTCTTTTTTTTGTGCTGCTCCCAGCGCTCAGCACCTGCTGCGCACTGTTCCTCCGGCCGCAATGGCCGAATACGCACGTGCGCAGGCCGATGCGGTCCGGCAGAGACGATGCAAGACATGCTGCACAGCCAAGGCGGCTCATCAGGCTGCCGCTGCGATGAAGCCCTCTAGGTGTCAAGGTTCGCCGGGGGCTTGGACTTTTGCGCGTTGGTGGAAAACAGGCGCGGAAAGACGGTTGCACGTCACAACCTGAAGATGTACAAGATTTTACATGGCTATGCGGAATGGATGCGACGATCGTCAGCCCGGTGTGACGAGACAGCGACCCCCGGGTGGGGGCTTGGCCCTCGACCAGATCCGAGCTCGTGCAAAGCCGGAGATGCCGGTTTTTAGCTTTCGGGATCGAGGTGGGCAGACAAAAAAAGATCAGCGAAGATACGTGTGCGAGACAAGCGCGGTAAGCGATGGTGCGCCGCTGGTGCAGCCACTACCGGTGCTGCGCGTGCACTCGCGCACGCAGGCAAAGTTGCTCCCCACGCAGCTTTGGGACGCAGCGGCCGGCCGGCGCCGGCGCCGGCACCCATGCCGCTGGCAGCGGCAGCGTTCCCGGATCCACGAGCGCGGTGGAGCATCGTGGCGCGTGCCTTGCCGCAACTTGTTACCATGTCGAACACAACAGCACGGACAAGGATGCTACCTAGCTGCCTTGCGTGGCTGGTTCGGTTTATTTACTGCTTGCACACTTGAGTGCGCAATTGCCATCTGGAAATTGAACACAGAATGCTTGTCTCACCCGCAGAGAGCCCATAGCAGCATGACAGACCAAAAGGCTTTTGACATGGTGCGCAAGTCTGTGTTGCATGCAAAGCCCAATGAGAGCCAGGCTTGCTAGTTTGCCGGGCTCCCAATGATGGACCCCATTTTCTGGGTCAGCATCGCGAAGTTCGGACCTGGACCTTCACATGTCCATGACATCCCTTACATCCCATGACATCCCCCCATGCAATCGCGAAGTGACTAATGCGTTCGCTTTTGGGAGGCTTAGGACATCGTAGGGCCATCTCTCTCTGCATCGAAAGCACTTTTACACCCCCACAGAGTCCGAACATGAGAGAGAGAGAGAGAGAGAGAGTCTGTTCGGAGATGTGACTGGCGATGTCGAAATGTCTTGCCTGACCTTGCTTTCCTTGGGCTCTGGCTTGTCGTCGCGGTGTTTCCGGTCTGAGGAAGCGATGCCTCAACTGGAGGGGGGGGTCGTTCTTTATTCGAGTGCTGCTGCCCTTAGCAAAAACTTCGTGTTGCGCTTCGCCCTTGCGGGTTCTTGCGTGGCTCTAGCTTTAAGCACTGGAACATGAAACCCTTTCAATGCAAGTGCGAGCGTAAAGCGAACGGCCAGAACGCACCCAACACCTCAAAGCACCAACTTCAACCCTGCCCCGCTTTACCATTGCGGGGCCACCCTGAGCAGAGCCTGCGCACAGGTTGCCCGGTTAGCGTCACTGCGTCAGTCCGAAAGCTCCGAATCCAGTGAGCAAGCTGCTTTTGTTCGCTCTTGCGCTCCGCTCGCTTGCGCGCTGCGCAGGTTTCAGGCTGTCCTGAGACTACATCCAAAATGCTTTCCGGTCACTCTGATCTAATTGTTCGCATGCTAACGCAGCTGGAAGATTCAGTTTCGGGGACCGTTTGGTCAAACATGTGCTTGCGGGGCTGCGTGTAAGGGGAAGCGGAAAGTGCATTGCCGGAAGGTAACGATGAATGTGACGAATATCATTTGCCCATTGGCTTTGTCATGGTTTTGCATGTTTTTGAGCCATGTGACACGTCTCTGTCTTTGATGCTCAAGCGCGGCGGGACGGGGGTGCAGGTTACCGCGCAAGTCGCGCATGGCGTTGCTGGAGAGGCATCTGGACGACAGCTTTAAAACATTGCGATTGCAGCAGTGTCACGTTCGTCAGCTCGCACTCGCAATCATTTGCGTGAGGCGGTCCCAACGCCCGGTTTCGGCTGGAGACGGGGAGGAACCTTGGCAGCGACAGCAGCCAACCGGCCAGCAGTGTCATGCAGTGTCATGTGCTTTGAAACAGTGCAATTTGAACACACTTGTTGTCCAGGAGCCAGTCCATGGATGTGGAGGACGCACGAAACAAACAGAAGCCACAAGCCTGCAATTTGACCCCGAATGAACGTGGGTGCATCACAGCCTCGGATCATCTAAGCTTGAAGTTGGTGGATGCGTGATGCAAGGTATCGAGGGAAACTCTACATCTTGAACGACGCTGCCGCGTGGCAAGAAGCCGGCACCGGTCATGCGTGTGCTTCCCAGCGAGGTCAAGCAACAGTTTGTACCGACATGTGACAAAATGCACAATGAAAATGATGCAATTTTTGTTGTTAGTTGTCAACGCTGTTTCATTGGTTTCAGATGTCATTGTGTGGGTTTGTTTTGTGCGCGTTTCTGTGTTGTTTGAACCCGTTTTGCAGGGTGCGGGCCTGAAGCCCATCCTTGCGCGGGTTGCGTGCCGACAGAAAAATGTGAATGAAGGTCCGTGGTGGGCACTGGGCAGCAGCGCAGGCTGCAATTCCGAGATGAGGACAGTTCCAGCCTTGGTCGTAGGTCGTAGCAGTCTCCTGAACGCATGTCTGTTGCAGCTCGGTGGAGCCATTTTGTAGTTGTGGGCATGAGCCCGACCGCACGGCACTGTGTTGATTTGGGTTCCCCTGTGACCAAAGCATCATTCGTGTAGATGCCCTGAGAATACGTATGTTTTGCTGCATTTGATTGTCGTCCTGATTTCAGGTGGGCAGGTGCTGCACGACCGGCCGGTGTTCGCACAAGACGTCTACCAGCTCCAGGGTGAAGGTGCAGCATTTGAGTGGCGCCGTGTATGGTGGTTTGTGGGACGGCGCATGTGGCACATGCATGCCTGCGGTGGTGCCGCGGGCCAGGTGCGCAGAAGACCATCATCGTTTGGGAAGACGAGGAGGATTCGAAAGATTGGGCCACGCACTGAGGATGCCACAGGACTCATTCGCCATCCGAAGTTTCCAATGTTCGCATCGACACCCATTCTGCCGTTCGGGCGTTGCTTTGCCTTCATGAGATTTGGCAGTCAATGGCAACCTTGGAACTCCAAGCAGCCTGTGGGCTGGCTACCTCCACTACGCTTGCAGATAGGATGCTGCCCCAGCATGCGCCAGCACGGGATCTGATTCGTGCAAGCGCAGACTCCAACCCCAGTAGACTGAAACATCATTCCTTCCACTCACCAGTCAAGCTGTTTGACCCTCTGACCCTGTTAGAAGTTGCTTCCTGGTGTCGTCCATACCGAGCATTTAGCGGAGCCTCATGTTCGGGAGGCGCTAAGCTTCCAGGATGAGGTCGGCTCACAGGCCTGGGATTGAAAGTTCAGTCTTAATAGAATCATTATGATGATTCTGATTGCTACTCTTGCTCTTACTCTTACTCTTATTCTTATTCATATTTACGTTTTTAATGTTGATTGAACCCGTGATTCCTACGCGCATGCTTCGCCCTTGGACCTATTTGGTGACAACGCCTGCGGGGGTTGCATCGATAATTTTGGGGCTTCTACAGGCCACCGAATGCCGTTCTTCTGGGAATTGGGTTCGCCACGCACGGTTCATCAACATGGGCCAGGGATTCAGACAGAGCTGCAAACCAGCTGTAGGCCCCAAGTGGATTGTTCATGCAATGGCCTGCGGCCTTCGGCCCCCCTTGTGGATGGCAGACCTAGAACACGAATTCTTGTTGCATGCTGGAAGGAAATCTACAAGCTCATTTGCCATGAGCGGAGGCCCCAGCAGGTTTGGATCAACTGACGGCATGGTTCGTCGTGTTATGAGTGTGTAGGTCCAGTGTAGGTCTCACCAGGCTGTTCTGTCCTAGGCCGAAGTCAATAACCCCCAAGCTCGAAAGCTCGAAAGATGCACCAAGGCCTCCTGAGCAGAAGCGGATTCTCCCTCCACCAAAGCTGCCCAATCTGCAGGTGGGGGGGGTCCTCCACAGCTCCTAGCAGCGGCTCTTAAAAGCCCTTCAACAAGTAAGTGACCTGTGTACTGGGATGCCGGGGGTCAAGACCTTGGGGGGTTTTAGGCGAACTGGACTTGAAGGCTTGCAGGAGTTGAGGGCGAAGAAGTTTTGCATCGACTGCGTCACGGAAAGCTGCCCTTAATGGTGCCCCCGGACTGTGCTGTCGGGCAGGATCTGGCCAGAAAATTGCAATACGTTGCACCAGGCCAGGGACTCACTTGATTTTGAGTTAAGGGATGTGTTTTTGAAATCTCAAATTCAGTGCCAGATGTTCTGGCCTCAGTTCTTCACAGCGGTTCCGAGATATGATATTTGCTTCAACGTTTTCTCATGCTTCGCTCAATGCTCGAGGATGCCCTAAGTGCCCAGGGGAAAGTCCACACAAAGAGGGCTTGACCAAGTGAATAGATGCTTGTGGCAGCGATGCCCCTACTGTACCCTTTAAAGCCTTTGCTTGCTGCCAACAGGCCAGCGTGAAGGGCTCGCTGCCGAACTCGCCAGTGAAGAGTTCTTGCAGGAGCCTCGCCACCCTTCACCCGACCCATCCCGACCCCCCTTCACTAATAAAAATCCCGCTGTGACAGGAGCTCCGAGAGACCTTCCACTCCGCGGAGGAGCCCGAGTTTGGCCTTAGACCAGTGGCTGTGGGGAAGAGTTTCGGCGTTTCTGGGTTGGGAAGGCCAGGCCGGGCAAAGCGATGCCTGCACATGCAGGCCTTGCGAGGCTTCTTGAAAATCGAGCCCGTTGCAGCCTTCAACCCAGACCCTAGCAAGATTTGCAAAAAGATAAGGTACCTACTGTGCTTCTTGTGCGACCTTCGCCCTGGAGGACCTTCAGAGCCAGAAAGACCTGGCCCTCATCTTCCAAATAGTGAAAGGCTGATTGGGGTGATTCGTGCGTGATTCACCGGGGTTTAGTCAAGTCATCAGGTTGGAGCATTGAGCCAAATTAAGTCTACACGGTGGAGTGAAGGCATCTTCCTGTTCGCCACCCACACCCTCACGGAGCGGTACCTCGCAGAGGACGTCTTTGAGGATGCACGCGGGCCAAGCCGTTGGCAGGGGTGCGAGGGTCTGCCGTGCCGAGGGTTATGCAGCGCTGTCCATGAAGCTGATTGCAATCCTTGACCATGTAACGGCAGTGTCTACAGTGTGAAGGCAGTGTTTAATGTCTAGCATCATCAGTCGCGTCCCCCTGAATCCTCGCAGCACCCCGAACCCACTGCAGCGAATCCACAGGTTCATGGCACCTCCTGGCAGCTAATGGCACCTCATTTCACCTCATGGCACCTCATGTCACCTCATGGCACCTCATGGCACCTCATGGCACCTCATGGCAACTCCAAGGCTGTTTGGATCCCCAAAAGAGCACGAGGTTCTTGGCATGCTCGAGCTCGACGATAGCTTGCCCGCGGAGAAGCGGATGCCGCATCGCCAGGCTGGGTGTTCAGCCGAGATCTCATTCGCGAACCTTGTGTAGACTTATGTGTAGACGTTTCTCTTCGTCTCGTCAGCTCCTCGACGACCAGGGTCGTTCTGACATTTGAGAGTAGCTCTCTGCTGCATCGAATGAAGCCCAGTAAGCTAGTCTTGCTTGCACGAAGCCCGCTGTCTCTTTCTGGCTTGCAGCTCGGGGAAAGTACATGTTGAAGCATGAGCGAGCAACAGCCGAAGTGCGCATGATGGAGCTGCTCATGGACCTACTTGGCAGCGAGCTTCGGAAGTCACCCGGGGTTCAGGGAGGGTCGCTGCTGGCAGTGTTGGATTCCTGGGCGGAGCCATGCACCCAAGCGGCACAGAGTCGTGGTATCCTGCTGACATTCTCTACGACAGCCAGGCTTCCCGAGATATTTTTGAGGTATGGAAAGTAAAGGCAGCACTTCTCAAAGGCTCTTGGGTGAAGTCGGTTCTGTGGAGGCAACGTGCTGACCATTTCTTGCTAGGTTGGATCCCAATGCGGCTCTGCGAAATTTGTGCGGTCGATGCAAGAGGGATAATCTCGTATGTGGGAAAACGCTCACATGTCCCGCCTCGGCCAGTGCGGGGGGTGTAGCGTGCGCATCGCAGACGAAGCAAAGCCAAATCACGTCACTTGGTGTACGTAGCACCACGCAGGTCATGAGTTAGTGCTTGGAGGGGTCCGTGCTTTTTGGCGAGGTCTGTGGCAGGGGCACACGGATTGCGGCTCCTCCAAGCCGGGTTTGGGCAGGTCTCACGGAGAAAAGGAGGCCGGGTGGGTGGGCGTACAGCAAATTTGGGGCGTACTCTCGGATGTGAAAGAGGCCCTCGTTCACAACTGTGACAACAGTAAGCTGGGCAGGTGTGGGTGGACGTAGACTCTCTTAGTTCCTTTATTCCTTTATTGAGAAACCCTGGGCCGGCAATGAGGGCATCCCTCAAACATCGCTGAATATTCCTTCCAGTAAGGCAATGTAGCCGTGCCCTGGCGCTCCTCGCCTGGGCGCTGATGCCAGCCTGTGCGGCTGGCAGCTTCTTCTCGACCAGCTTGAGGAGAGCCGTTGCAAGCCCAGTGTTGCTGCAAACCACTGCAACCTTACAAATAAATCCTCTTTTTCCATCCGTCTCTCCATCTTGTGTTGAGCGCCCTGGCTCGCCCTGGCGCATTAAATCATTAGGTCTAAAGCCACATGCGTCAAGAGGCCCGGGAGTCGAATTTCGAGTTTTTGTGATGTATGTACAAGGAGACTTGGATTCTCAAGGTGGTCAAGAGAGGGAAGGGTCCATACGGACATGTGGTTTGCAGAATTAAAGCTTTTGATGCCAGCCTGGTGTCCTTGTTTTTCCTTCCTTCGACATTTCATGACATCCTGGTTCAGAAATGCCATATGCCAGGCTCGGAGCTGTTTAATGTTCAACTGGCTTAGGCAAATGATTACGCTGTCTTCAAGCTCAACTTTCCTCTTGCGGATTGCAAGCGCAATAGCAGCAAAGATGTATGTCATGCATACCGTAAAAAGTTCTGCTTCAAGCACAGATCGTTTTTTTCACGGTACGCGGGATTCAAGCACTCACAAGTCAAGCACCCGAACGTTTCAAGCACTGGCGACTTAATTAAGCACGAATCCGGGTTCAAGCCAAGCCAACGAATTCCGACTCACTGGCGATGTGGCCCCAGCCAAACCGCCCACTGTAAAGGTTAGGTTATGGTTCAGGGGTGTTAGGCGTTGACGATGTTCAAAGCCGTTTTTAGGGATTACAGCTTTTAGGGTCCAGGAATCTTTGGGCTAAGGCTTTAAGGCCCAGGGATTTTGCACACCACTTAGAGGCTTCGGGTTTGACAGTAGCTATGGTTACACATAAGTTTAGGTTGTGTACACCAGGGTTTCAGGGCTGAGGGTCTTCATGGTCGAGGGCTTGCTTCAGGCTTTTAAGGGTTTAGGGCTTAGTGTTTTAGGGTTCAGGGGTTTAAGGGTTTGAAACTTTTTCGGCCGTTCTGGCTTTTGATTTTGGGCTAGGCTAGTGCGAATCCGCCGCCTCAGTGTGCGAATCCTCCATATGAATCCTGCGGGAGCAAATCTGCCGTGCAGCGCGCGAATCCACCGGTGCGCCAGTGGTTTGCAAAACTGCGTTCCAGCGCGAATCTGGGCGAATAGGTTTCTATCCATGCATACATGGAAGTATATAGCCCAAATCAGATTAGTCTTGTCGCTCTCGCTAAGCATGCATTCTTGCTTGCTTTCTTGCTGCCAGGTGGTCGCATCATGCCCTATCATGCCCCAAATCGCATGCTGTCCTGTGGCTGCGTCTTGACATCGACGGAGCGCCAGGGTCCCACAGCCCTGGCACCCTGGATTGGCGCGGGTCAAAGGCCCAGATGGCACACTGGCGCTGGTCCGCAAGGCCCAAAACCTGGGGCCGGGGTGTGGAGTCAGCGACAGCTGCAAGAGAACAGGGGTTGAAGATTGAAGGTTTCAAGGCTTCTGGCAGCTTAATGGAAGCGAGGCTAAGCCACCCACAGTGCTTTCTGCATTCGTGGCAACACTAGTGGCGCCTAGACTTCTTCTGGCGTCTTTTGCAACAACAAATCAAATCAACCAACATGCTGGCTTGTGCCGATGTGGACTTTTGCAAAGTAGCGCGTGCAAGCTCTAGATATCTGCAGGTTCAGGCCGTGTTGGCGTCAAGGGGCGTTGGCACTGGCATTTGGGATTCTCGGTCTGAGTGGTGCGCGGGGAGCGTGTGCGACTGCTTTTAAATTTTAAGCTGCAGAATCTTGACTGCTCGATGGAGGTGCCTGCGCCTCTGCCCGAGGCATGGCAGTGAGGGCAGGGTAGGTTTGGGATTGAGAAGCGAAAGCGTCCTGGCCGCAAGCACTTGGCCATCATGTCACCCGACCCTCCTATTTTTTTAGCTCAAAGCAGAAGCCAAAGACAGACTCGGTCCAAAGACGTTACCTGGCTTTTGGCCTCTCACATTCTTGGAGCCCTTCAGAGGCAGCAGCCGAAGCCGGCAAGCGCTGCCCTTGCCCTGTCGAGGCCACTAGTGATAGTCACTAGTGATGCCTGGGCTCCATCGGTGTTTCGGGGGTTGCCGGATGTGTGGAGGGTCTCGGAAGCACACGCACCTGTCACTTTTTGTCATCATATTTTGTGCGCCTTTGTGTTTTGGTTGTGGTATGTTGTGGTGTCTCGGTGTTTTGCAACCGCTTGGGTCTCAGGTTTGTGAATGTTTGTAATAAAAGACTGCAAGTGATCCGCTTTGCTGTGGCTTCGATGTGGTGCTTAGCGACCGCTTGCCTGGTTGAGTCCACGCGTCATATTCATTGCCAAGGGGTGATCGCGTGGCTGCCGGATGTTCTGGCAATCTGAGGGCATGGCTTTGCTTGGGGAGACGTCGGTAGGTGGGCGAAGTGCAATGGATGAGCAAGCCGCGACCAACAATATCAACAATGCCCGGTGCTATGGCATCTCGCATGAGTGGCAGACTGTGCTTCTTGTTCTGGCCGCCGATGCAGCTGGCGGCAGCAAAAACGCTCCCGAAACTCTTAGTCTGAACCTGGCCCTTGCAACGTGTGTAAAAGCGACCCAGTGGTACCGAGCCTGGCAGCTCTTCCTGGACATGGCGGAAGCCGAGGCGCAACCCGATGTCATCAGCTATAATTCAGTCCTCAGCGGTTGTGCCAAGGTTGGGCAATGGAAGATGGCCCTTCAGCTTCTTTCGGACATGCCAAGCTCGCGTGTGCATCCCAACAGGATCAGCATGAACACAGCCATCGGTGCCTGTAAGAAGGAGGGGCAGTGGTCTGTGGCCATGCAGCTCCTGGCCGACATGCCATCCATCGAAGTCTCACCGGACAGTATAAGCTACAACGCTGCCATCAGTGCCTGTGAAAAGGCAGGGTGCTGGTTGCGTGGCTTGGGGCTGCTTTCTGACATGGCCACTTCACGGCTTGCCGACGAGATCAGCTACAATGCTGCGATCAGTGCTTGTGGAAGGGCCGGCCAGTGGCAGACAGGATTGCAGCTGCTTTCGGACATGTCTAGCCATGCGTTGAAGGCGAATACTATCAGCCACAATGCAGCGATAAGCGCGTGTGAAAAATCGGGGCAATGGCAGACGGCACTTCATCTGCTCGTCGACATGCCAGAGGCGGAAAGTAATCCAGACCAGATAAGCTTCAATGCTGCGATCAGTTCTTGCGAGAAGGCCGGGCAATGGCGTGCTGCGCTGCAGCTTTTGAGCTACATGCGTTGTGCAAGTGTGCAGGCCAATCAGATTAGCCTCAATGCAGCAATCAGTGCAAGCGAGAAGGATGGGCACTGGAGCAAAGCACTGGAGTTGTTGTTTGTTATGCAACTCACTACTGTGCTGCCGGATACAATCAGCCAGAATGCTGCCATCAGTGCAAGCACCAAAGGCCCCGAGTGGCCAATCGGGTTGTTCTTGCTGTTCGACATGCCACGGGCCTTGCTTGACACAAGCGTGATCAGCTGCAGTGCTGCCATCACTGGCTGCGGAAGTTGTGAGCACTGGCAGATGGCCTTGCAGTTGCGTTCGCGCATGACAGCCATCAGGTGCCAGGCCAACGAGGTTACCATGAGTGCTGCCATCAGCGCCTGCGACAAAGGGCTGCAGTGGCAGCTCGCACTTCAGCTGCTGAAGGAGGTGTTGCTGTCGGGCTTGCGCAGCAGCAACATGCATTTTGCAGCAGCCATCAGCGCGTGTGACAAGTGTGAGAGATGGGAACTGTCTCTTCAGCTGCTTGCCGAGATGTCACGAGTGAAGCTGCAGCCCAGTGATGTTACGTGTAACGCTGCCATCAGTGCCCTGGCAAGAGGGGGGGAGTGGCAGTCTGCTGTGCACCTGCTGTGTCGCGTGTCCAGTATTGGAGTGCGTGCCGACGAGTTCAGTTACAGCGCTGCCATAAGCGCGTGCGAGAAAGGCGGTCAGTGGATGATGGCTCTCCAGCTGCTGTCA